GTTAGCTCAAGGTCATCAATATCTTTCTTCAGCTCTGAACATTCATCTTCCAGTTTCCTCTTCTTGGCTGTCAGTTCAGCATTAATTTCTTCTTCATCCTCAGCCCTTTCTGTCACTTCCTTGACTTTGGCTTCCAGCTGGATTTTGGTTTTGATGAGCTGGTCACACCTTTCCTCAGCATCAGCCAARCTATCTGCTTCCTGGTGGGGAGACAAATTTTCATTATTTGTTTTCTGAACTTTTCTGTGCAAATGTGTGCCGCAATGTGGCATAACATTTTTCAGTCTCTCCTCAATGAACTTTAATCTTGCTGTTAGATTTGTGTTTTGTATTGTGGTGGGTGTTTTTTGTTTATTTGTCTGTTTGGTTTTGGTGGTTTGAGATTTTTTTTCCACCGGATGCACTATACAGTCTTGCAGGTGAAAAAATACAGATTTCTAAACAATTTTCTGTCTCCTAAAATGTCTCACAGTTGTGGCAGGTGTGAGAATTCTCATTTAGTTAGAGGAGAGAAGGCTTGGAGATATTTCTGTTCACAAATAGAGCATTTATTTATTCCTTTGTTAATTGAATCCTTCTGAACCTGTTATGATGTTGAGAATAAAGATTTGGTAGTCTCAACMATAATTGAAAAGAAATAAGTTTCCCCTCTCTCTAATTGCATGAATCCTGCTGCTTAGATAATTGGGRTGAATCAGGTCTCTCATCCTACCATGCTGTGTTTGGGATGGTACGTGATCAGCTGATCTCTGCATCATCTTACTCTTGGTGGGCTTTTTTCAACATGAATTGKTTTTGTCCTGACTGAACTGGAAATGCAAATACCTTGTAAGAAAATCCAGTGGGATATTTCTTTTTATACTGAGGAAAACAAGTATCATCAGGGTTCCCACTTTCTATGGAAATATTCAGATAACTTGGTGATGAAGTACAATGTTCAATTTTTAGTTGGTAAATTAAATTATTTAATGGGTAGAGTAAGATGATTTTGTAAAGTGATAATTAAGTATACTTTTGCTTATATTTTAAAGCAAAATCCTAATTTGTGATGTGCTGGTGTCTACGAGATTCAYAGAACTACAATAGTAAAATGATTCATATTTGAGATTGACAGGTCTAGCCATGAAGTTCTTCACTTAAAGAATATTCTTTTCAACTAAAACTAACAGTCMAAGATTGTTTCCAGTTCCTCATTTATGGCCTGTGATAAAACTGGGTGTACCATTCCCATAAGCTCCACCAAGACCCAGTGAGTCTCTCCACATTTTCATATTATTTACAGCTTCCCTGGAGCCGGTGCATTTAAYGAGCTACTGTTAGAAGCTTATTAAATAGAAGCTTGCTAAGTAGAACATCTGTCTGAACCATTATGTTTGTTAACATTCAGAGGATTGGTTTTCCTCACCTCTTTCTTTTTGTTCTGACACAATATCTGGGTTGGGTCTCTGCTCCCAGTTGACAGAAGACAAGGGAACAGGGGGSGAAATGCTGTCTGAATGCTGGGCACCCAACACAAATATTGTACAAAAATGGCTTTTAGTGGAAAGGGGTGTTCTTTTAATAAAAATAACTTCTTAGTCATAACTCTCAATCTTAAATATTAATAATTTTACCTATACAAAATGTTTATGGTGGACCTACAATATCAAATCCAGACTGGAGATGCAAAAAAACAACTGAAATGTTCAAAAYCCCCAAGAACTTCAGCTTCATTATTGATTTCATTTATGACCTTGATGTCATTTAAGTCTTAAGCATAGGGAACCCTTTTGTTTAACTGTGTTGTTTTGCATGGCCTGGTTTTTGGTGCCRTGGGTGCCTGGCATTTGGCCACTGTCAAACCACATTAACTAATAACTGAGGGAARAAGAAACCTGCCCTGGGTTGTATGACTTTTAATTTGAAAAAGAAATAKATATATTCTTATATTAAGAAGAAATTTGAAGCTGTATCCCCCAGTTACAGAGTGAGTGATTAACTGCTAGTTACCAAGCAAAGAGAGGATGGTTTCTYCTGCACCTACATTCACAAGTACCACTTTGAAGTGTGGTTTGCATTTATGCTGTAAAATAAATWCATTGTTCTATGCCCTGTCAAGATAGACATCCTTCCAGCATCACTCACCAGTCCAGAGGGCACTTGGGGTACAYTACGGTCTGAGTATATAATGTTTGACAGCTACATCTACCTCTTTCCTCTGAAGGTCRGAGAACTGACTCCCACTTGAAACTCTCTGTTTCTTTACACTGGCTTTCAGAGTGCTCACCACACCACTGCCAGAATTTGTTTCCACRCATTCATAAACATATGATGGATAATTATCCAAATTTGTGACTTTTGGTCTTCTATAGTCTGACCTTCTCTTTATAAAAAACAATCTGAAAGTATAGACTCATTTTCTGAGTGATAAACTAAAGGTGATAAACTCACTGCCTGTACTTGGAGCTGCAGGTCATTTTTCTCCTGCACMAGTTTCACCATTTTCTCCTCCAGYTCCTTCCGCTTTGCTTCAGACTTTGCAAGCTCTTCCTTGGTTTTCTCAAACTCTTGTTTCATGTTGGCCATCTCCTTCTCAGACTCTGCGCTCTTCAGCAAGGGCTTGATCTTGAAGAACAGCTTCATCCATGGCCAGTGTTTGACATTCATGAATGCACGGATGTTGTACTGGATGCAGAAGATGGACTCTCTGAAAGAGAAGTCCAATTAATATTCAATATTTATACAACAATGACACAGTAAGTACAGGGAATCTAATTTGAAGAAAAGTCTACCTCCTCTCCACCATTTTCTGGTACTCCACTCTCATCAGGAAGCCCCTGCACCTGGCCTGTGTGCGGGTGATGAGCTGTGCCAGCTTCTCATCTCTCATCTCCTCCAGGAGTCCCAGCAGCCCAGCTTTGAAGAACACCTTGAGAGAGGGAATGTTGCAGCACATCACTGTCAGGYAGAGCAAGGCAGAGGCAAACAGTGAATGGGGGTGTTTGTACCTTGGTGTGTCCAAATTTGTACTGGGTGTGGTCCACATCGATTGACCCAAGGAGCTTCTCAGAAGCCTTCTTGCTATCGATGAACTGTCCCTCRGGGATGGCACTGGCATTAAGCACCTTGTATCTGTGGAATTACAGGAAGATAAAGCTGTTTTTTTCCAAGCAGCATACATTCACCACTGAACCCCAGCTGCTCTTTTTGAAAACAGAGCACAGCCTAAATGGACCCAAAAATGAACAAGCATTGCTTTTGGTTATACTGAGAAGCAGAGTGCTCTCTCTCACCTTTGTTTGAAGTCAGCATAGAGGACTCTGCTGGGGAACCCTTTCCTGCAGATCCTGATCCCTTCCAGCACGCCGTTACAGCGCAGCTGATGCAGCACCAGCTCGTGCTCCATGGCACCTGGCAATGCAGAGCACAAATGAATGGYACAGATTGCAGTGCAGAGGGSAATGGATSTRTCAGAGCARGTACCTTTCTGCTTGAGCMTCTTACCAGGTGTTTTAGTCTCATTGGGGATGATACAGCGCACAAAATGGGGGTGAGTGCTCCGCAGATTGGTCATCAGCTTGTTGAGATTCTCCTAGAGGAACCAGTTAGTAGTGTGAGTTTCCTGTGTCCAGTGCTTGATGCATCAAACCCAAGTTATGRTTTTAAAACTTCTCAAGCTGAGTTTTGGAGCACTTAAATAAAGCCACAGAAACCAAAAATGTCTTCTGTTAGAAGATATTGATCACCATTTTTAGATTAAAATACTACCATCCTCCTGTTGGTTCAGTGAAAACTAATACAGAATTTCACATGTTCAGAAAGAATAAATGACTTTGGATTTATCACATTCTGCTTTGAAAGTCAATCTACTTAAGTTTTTAAAAATGGGTTTATTCCAATGAGATAAATATCTCCTTGGAAATTATTTTCAACTCCTCAACAGAAATKCAAAACTACCAACAGTATTATTCTAGTCTGACCCAAAGACATAAAAATATAAARATCTGAATGATATCTGCTAATAAAAAAATGAGAAAGAAAACCACTACAAATTGTTAGATTTCCATGATTTTGAAGACTGAATGCTTATTTTTGGGCATGACATATTTGCAATATTAAAACTGACCCTGGAAAACTTGATGTGTAAATTCCAAATAAATTTACAACAGTAATTTAAAATAAATTCACAACAGTAATTTAAAATAGCCCTTTCAAATTTAATATTACCTCACCCCCATTCTCCACATTTCAGAGATAACAGATGTAGTACTGTACCCGGAAAAGAGCTGAGACAGTCTGAAATGAAGAACCCTTCTTCTTGCCTCCCTTCTTACCACCACCAGTCTCTGTGAATTGGATAAAGGAAAAAAAAAGTTTTAAAATTAACACAAAACAACTTTTAATGTTTGGTATTTATGGCTTTATTCTTTGACAACATTGTTCCGACATTGAAAATACAATTTTCACAAAACTGACCTGCATCTGCTCCACCATAGTTGGCAAARAGTAAAGCCAGRGTCTTCACAGATGATTTCTGGTACAGCCCAATGACAGTTTCRTTCAGAGGGTCCTTGTTCTTCTCCAGCCAGCCAGAGATRTTGTARTCCACTGTGCCAGCATAGTGCACCAGGGAGAAGTGAGCCTCAGCCTTGCCTTTGGCAGGCTTGGGCTTCTGGAAGTTGYTGGACTTGCCCAGGTGCTGGTCATAGAGTTTGTTCTTGAAAGAGGTGTCAGTTGCCTTGGGGAACATGCACTCCTCTTCCAGGATGGAGAAGATGCCCATGGGCTGGGAGAGATTATGACAGACAAAAAGGAGAAACAGATTAGGAAGGAGACATCTCTTGTTTGTCTTGTCTGGAAAGTTGCTGGAGTCAGAAAAGGAAGCTGTTCTCATACAGTTAATGRCTTTAAGTCAGAGAAAATCAACTAAGGCTCAACTTTTTTCAGTGAGTTTTTCAGTGAGCTTTTTGCTGTTTCATTCAAAATTATGGAAATGCCTTTGCAGATGAAATTATTGTAGATATAACGATGCAAAATACTGTCCTCTTTATAAAACTTCAGTGAGGTTTACTGATAAGTGCTTAGAGATTAGCATGACACTTTTCATCTCATTTTGTAATCTAGCAATAAATTCTCTCACCAAAAGTCCTGATATCTGAGTATGATCTCTAAAACCACTTCTACCCTGTTATCACTTTCACAGGGTATATATTTGAAGAAACCAAAATATTCTTACATGCTTCTTAATTGTTTCTCTTGGCAAGTATAGAAGACTCAATACATRACAGACTTGAAGAGGAAGGATACCTTCTCAATGAGCTCAATGCAGGCAGCCAGATCCATCCCAAAATCAATGAATGTCCATTCAATTCCCTCCTTCTTGTACTCCTCCTGCTCCARCACGAACATGTGGTGGTTGAAGAACTGTTGCAGTTTCTCATTGGTGAAGTTGATGCACAGCTGCTCAAAGCTGTTGAACTGCCAGACATAAATAGACATACAAGGCTTTCAAGGATCAGTGATAATACCAAGGAGTTCTCTTCTGCAATCCTAATTCACCGTGGTTTATACTTTAAATGTTAGTTCTCTTCCTGCGTAGTTTTCCTTTGCTATCTCTCTAGGATCAGCTTTGTATTTAGGAAACAGAGGTTTCAAATTTAGAGCAGTTAGAAGATTAGCTTTCTATTCTATTTTTGTCAGGGTTAAAAACATTTCAAAAAACTGATTTCAAAAAATTGATTTCAAAAGCCCTATGAGTAAAAGCAAGGAGGTACACATACTAAATGTCTCAAAATTCTCAATTATTGTTCTACAAAAATGCTAGGAAAACCGTGGTCATTACATCAAAGATCTCAAAGCCAGCAATGTCCAGGACACCAATGAAGTACTGCCTGGGCTGCTTCGTATCCAGCTGCTGGTTGATNAAATGCTAGGAAAACCGTGGTCATTACATCAAAGATCTCAAAGCCAGCAATGTCCAGGACACCAATGAAGTACTGCCTGGGCTGCTTCGTATCCAGCTGCTGGTTGATRCGAACAACCATCCACAGGAACATCTTCTCATAAACAGCYTTTGCCAGGGCACCCACTGAATTGTTGACCTAAAGAACAGAGAAAGCTTTGGAGATTACTGTACAGAGCAGAGGTGAATCAATGGGAACCATCACAGCATGCTCCACATTACCATATTTTTTCTACCTGCTGCACAGTTTGGCCCTTGGTCACATATTCATTCCCCACCTTGACGCGGGGGTAGCAGAGGGCCTTGAGCAGGTCTGCTGAGTTCAGACCCATCAGGTAGGCWGCCTTGTCAGCAACTAAATGACAGAAACAATAGAAAAGTAGATATTCAAAAATTCCTAAAATTCGGTGCTTGGCAGATTGTCCCAAAAGTGTTCTCCACAGGGCTGCACAACAGATCTGTCAAAGCTACAAAACTAGTCTCTCTCTTGTGTTCAGGACTCAGTCTATAACTTTTTTGAACTTCAGTTTCTGCAAACATTCTTCAAGAGAGCTCCTTGCCTTCATCCTTTTTCAGGTGTCAGTATGGARCTTCACACTTGCTTTCTAGTCATATGGCAGGAGGATTTATCAYTCAGAAAGATGGAGATATGGACAGTCCTTCCTTCTGTGACAGAGACTAATGAAGTACACATCTTATGTCAAAGTACTCTCCAATAGGTGAGGGTGAAAAGAATACAGCCTTCTGTGCTGTTGGGGCTGAACCATTTCACTACTCCATACTACAGCAGAGTTTGCAATGTGTATTTCAGCTTAAGCATGATTAGCAATGTTACAGCAATTGACACTCAAGTGTCCTGSCTTCCTGTCAGTCTACACTGGATCGCTTCTCTATGAAGCAGACAGAGGAGAAAGTACAGGTATTATTAAATGAGATAAATGCCTCAACTGTAATCTGTCTAGTCATGGAACAACTACTCTTATTCTTACTTTACACATTTAACACCTGAATTCTGCCTAAGTCCTTATGTAATAAAGACTATCTCTTTTGGAAAGTTGGCTGACTCTGCTGATACCTTCGGAGCCATCAGGCTCTGCCTGCTCCTCACGCTGCTTCTGCTTGAACTTCAGGTTCCCGTAGTGCATGACAGCCCCTGTCAGCTTGTAGATGGCTGTTTTCTCATCAGCACTGAAGCCCAGGATGTCAATGGCACTCTAGAAACAGAGACATAAATTTATACATACCAGGGCTCAAAGTCACCTGATGACCTGTTTGGTAAAATTACTTACATCTGTAGCCATCAGCTCCTCCTGATCATCAATGCTTGGGACAGTGATCTCACCTTGACTCACAAAGTGGAAATCATAAGGGTTGGTGGTAATGAGAAGCATGTCTGAAAGCAATAGAAGTAGGAAAAAAGGCTTACTTTAATTTCCAGATGACACAATGAACTATTGCTCAGTAATCTTCCTTCAGAAAGTCAGTGATCTTTCCTACCGATTAGCTCTGGCTTCTTGTTGGACATGATCTGATAAAAGATGTGGTAGCTTCTTTCCGCCTTSAGCTGGAAAGTGACTCTGGACTTCTCCAGCAGATCTGGCAAGGATGGTAGAACAAAGTCAAGCACAAGAAGTGGGGAAGGCTGGAAGGAAGGGGATCAGGCCAGAAGGGTGTCTTACATGTTTCAATGTCAGCAGAAGCCAGTTTGCCTGTGGCACCAAAATGGATTCTGATGAATTTACCCTGAAAGCARCAGGAAAGTCAATTRAGARCTGTTTTACCAAMACAGACAGCMAGARTATTCAAAYTGCTGTTGACGGTTGCCCCAGGTAGCAACTTACAAAACGTGAGGAGTTRTCGTTYCTCACRGTCTTGGCRTTTCCAAAGGCCTCCAGCAGTGGGTTGGCRCTGATGATTTGATCCTCWAGCGTTCCCTGAAGGATGATAATTGTTGCTCATTATCCTTTCCAAAAATCATGTSAGGAACAGAGGAAAGCATTGATCATAACGTGTGTCTACTAATTTACCTGCATTTTGCCTGATGCATGTTCTTCCTTCTTCTTGTCCCCACTGGCTGCAATTGTTGCAAAGTACTGGATGACACGCTTTGTGTTSACAGTCTTCCCGGCACCGGATTCTCCGCTGTCAAAGCCCAGAGAGAAGCAGAGAGCGTGTGGTCAGGCAGGAGGTCCCCTGGCACCAGGCAGCCCCACAGGGACCCGAGCAGGGGGGGTACGTACGTGATCAGGATGGACTGGTTCTCCCGATCTGTGGATGAGGCAGAGATAAGAAACCTTTTATTAATGCTTATGAATAACAAAGAATTCAAGATSTAGAAGAAAAATAAGAACTGAAACTTCCAGAGGATCCAGGAACAGAAAACAGCAATAAGCAAAACAGCCAGGGAATTCTGATGGGTATATCTGATGCCCCCAGCAGTACTTCAGCTATTAGCAACTTGTTCTGTAAAGATATTACTTCAGAGAAACTTCAGTAGTATTATGCCTTTCCTCACTGACTTTTCATCAAACTACTTATTTCTCTTAATAGGCAAGTTGAGGCAATGAAAATACACAGGTTGTAATTTTTTTGTGTGTAAATTCTTCTAAAGCTAAAAGTTTCTTGAATAATCTTACGGAAATTTGGAGGCATCATTATTTACCGAAACATCTGATCAATCAATTTCACTCTTTTTCACCCATATTTTTTCAAACCCTATATATACAGAAAGTATGCATTCTTCAGATCATACGCTGACAACTTTAATTTTTTGGTTTTTTTTTATTCTGAATGCATTTTCCAGTGTCTAAGAAAAGAACAGAAGTTCTAAAATCCTTCACACCTTTTATTTTCAATGCATGTGTAAGGAAAGAAAATAAGAGGTGGAACAAAGAGGAAAAAGCCGAAAGAAATTTTTTTGAAGTTGCTCAATTTAAATGGTAAAAGCTTTATTTTTTCCTTGGTATTGTTTTATGATGTTTACTGTTAATTATACAGCACAATCAATTTATAGTTGCAGCTACAGATCAGTAGAGGAGTTCCAGAGATCATTCAATGTTGTATGTAATTTACATCACATGGCCATCACCTATAGAATGAAATTTATTTGTATAATAAGTGATTCAAGTGAGACTTGTCTGTGTGTTCAAGGTAGAGATCTCTGTTTCATTTGTTAGCACTGATGCTTGAAAATTTAAATTGACATTATGCACACCATTTATAGGGTACGTGTTATTTAACTGCACCCTGTACTCTCAGTCTGAGACTAATTTAGTTGTTAAGATACATAAAATCTTATCTATATATATATATAATCCATAAAATCATCCATATATGTAAGATTCCATCATAGGCATCAGGTCCACACTGAATAATCAGTGGTTTACATCCAATGAGTTTATTCCCTCTAAGTTATGTCCAGGTCTTTAGTGATTCTAATGGGAACACAGACACTCAGCTCAAGCAGACCATTAGAGTTAWGTGCATTCATCTTCCATTAATGTCTCACATACAATTTTTTTAAGTGTGGTATCACATTTCCAGACAATACTCTACATTTCCCTCTACACACAGATGACTGCAAGATTAGCTCAAAAGGAGGTCAAGCACTCACCAGTCAGCATGGACTGATAGGCATTGTCAGAGATGGAGAAGATGTGTGGAGGGGCCTCCTGGCGCTTCTTGCCTCGGTAGGCCAACACCACCTCCGGGTTGTACACCGGCAGCCACTTGTAGGGGTTGACAGTGACGCAGAAGAGACCCGAGTAGGTCTGCGAGGAAGGGAGACAGCACGTTGGCTTCCCCTGAGCCTGGCACAGCAGTTCCTGCAGCTGCCCAGAGGAAGCTGCTGCTGCCACTTACGTAGATCATCCAGGCTGCGTAACGCTCTTTGAGGTTGTACAGCACAGCGGGTTCGTGGAGGTGGGTCATCATGGCCATGTCCTCGATTTTATCGTACTTGGGAGGGTTCATGGAGAAGATTTGATCTTCCTTCACGGTCAGGGTCTGCCAAAGAAACAAAAGAACCATGTGTGTCACCTGAAAGCTCAAAATGGGATCAAATATTGTCCTTCAGCCTTGATTTTCACTCACCTCTCCCCCTTCAGTCTTGACAGTGACTTTGCCAGATTCCCTGCTCTGGATTGTCCCTTTCACAAAGGATTCTTTGGCATGAGCCACAAAGACAGATGACTTGGCATCRAAAGGTTTGTTCTGGGCTGCAATTCTCTCCTTTTCCGATTTTCGGAGRTAAGGAGCCGCCTCCCCAAAAACAGCCATCTCAGCATCTCCAGAGGCCATGTCTGCACTCTAATGACAGCACGTCAGCAGAGGTGTCTTGYGGAGGAAGAAAGTTATGGGTCATCAAGAAGAATAATATTATCTATATCAATGAGAAAGCTCCTTTGTCTTTAGCTAATAAATTCCTAGTTAGTCTCTGAAATAATGTCTTAAGAAGAAACCAGTTAAATCCACTTTGATTTGAAGTTAAAAATACCTTAGTGTGCTCCAAGAGTAAGACTTAGACTTCTACAACATGTAGCTCTTGTAACAGTAACTAGAACATCTGAATATTGAGTGCAGTTTGGTAACTCACCTTGAATTTTGACAAGATTTGAGTTTTATGCAAAAAAGAATACAGTCACAGAAAAATTACTCTYTGYTCTRMTACTTAATTAYGTGCAATGACTCCTCAAGAAATTAYTTGCTGAAAATATTACCTTTTGTATTAAAATGAAAAATTACTTAACTTTTTAGATTCTCCCTATTTTCAGCTGCCTAGCCTAAGCAAATTCAGCTAAAATAGAAAAGGATTTATGAAGAGAACTCATGCAGCTCTTTTAAACRTCCTGTCCTAGACTGTAGATTAGGATTGCATTATTCAACATGTTTCCTTTGGAGAACAGTTTGTATCCTGGAATATGGCCTTGTAAAATAGGAATTGGCAGTTATTTCTTATTGTTGAACAGAATTCCATAGAATACTGTAATTTGAAAATACAGATATGTATCAAAATTACATTGTTCGCATGGGCACTCCCTCATGGCAAAGGTTGTTTAAGGCAGAAAAAATTAAACAGCATATTGAAAAGACATTGTCCTCTTTTTTCTAGCTCACGAAACGCATGCACTTACCTSGAAGCCTTCTGCAGAGACAGGCTAGACTTGTCTCTGGGAGATTTTATAGTGTCTTGTCTGCAGATGCTGCAGATGGTCTCCCTTTCTTCGGTCAAAACATTTCTGGCAAACCTTTTTTGGCCAAGCATTGTCTGTCAAACTAAGGGCAGAATTCTCACTTGATTTGAATGATATAATTAGAACATTTTTATATCTTACTGACTACGTGAATACATCTATAAATAATTTCTCAAGAGTGTTAAGGAGAGAATCTAGACTACTCAAGGCACTTAGAGAACTTGCATGGTTCTATTGCTGCCTTTCTCAGTGATTTGCTCCTTGACCCATGGTAGTTCCCATGGTATGTTTAYACCACAACTTTTCAGTCCTGTAATGGTGATGACAATGTCTTTGATCGTTTAGGAACACATGCATTGAGAGAAACAGGGAAAGTATGTCAAAAACTAGCAAACAAAGTTAGGATCCCTTTTCAGTGGTACTTTCTAAAAAGCAGGAAGCAAAAATCTATTACAGCTGAGTTTTCTGTACAGGACACTCTCACTTCAAAAGATTTGAAATACAGTGAGTTGGGAGCCTGAACCCAAGTAATGGGAGAGTCTGCTTTGAAATGGAGCTCTTGAATACATTCCTGAGCTGACTTTTGAGGAATCAAATGTTGCAAATGACTCATTAAGATTGCTTGAAGTAKCACCATCAAAGGCATTAGCGAAAGRGGGTTCAATATAAATTTGTAAAAGCACAATGAAGTTTGATGGCAAGGAGGTTCACTTTATTATGTACTCCAAAGATCAAGGAAAATCGACCAAGAATTCCTTTAGAATGATATGCACKACAACTGGGGATGCAAAGGTTTAGGGTAAAAAGCATAAGAAAGATTCTTCTGTTGGGTCATGAGGTTTGCAGAGGGGCCCCTTGKTTTCTAAACTCCTGATGGAGTCCAGGTGCAGCTACATCCAGTCATAATACCAGACCTAGTCAACAGTTTGTATCTAAAGGGTTTCAGCAGGACTTAATCATTGGCTAATTTGGCATTCATAACATGATTCATTGGCATTGGCTAGTTTGACATTCATAACGTGATTCAATAGGATTTACTACTATTGCAACCTTGACTTAATTACAGATCCCAGGTGGAAACATTAAAACTTTACTTGCTGTAGGGGGCTTAAATTAATTCATACATGCACACACACAGACACAAAAGTGTGTCTATAAATACTCAAGGGTTATACCTATTAAAAGTTCCCTCTGACTTCAGTGAAATATTCACTTCAAATACCTTGGAATTTCTCAGTGGGCAAGAACTGAGTGTCAGGGAGTGGATGATATTGCTCTGGAAGCCATCATCAGCTTTGGTGAATTTTCTGAAAATCAGTCCTCCATTTTTCATAAACTTGACAGTTCATGAGTTTTGAGAGRTGCCCCACTCTGAGGGAAATGGTGGTTGCCACTTGCTGCAGTCCAGGAGAACTCAAAGGGCCTCACTAAAGCCTGCTATTTATAGGGTTGCAAGACGTTCAGTTTTAGTTATCCATAAATTTCCATCCTGGACACAATACAGGTCATTAATTACTAGTGTTTCCAAAACTCCACTAACAATGGTACAATTCTACTTGGCTACAATTTAGGCAGGGCAAGTTTCAAGTGTTTCAGCAAGTGGCTGATTATTCACTCTCATCCTTCACCTTAGCCAAACAACAGGAATTGGTGGTACAGGCACTGCTGCTCCCAGCTCAGCCATGCAAGACTCTTGGTAAAATCAAGGGACACTCATTACACAAACATCAAGGCTTTACGGGAGTTCCTGAGACTGTAGAGCAGACCTGAGGAGGAAGGGGAGATGCACTATCACATCAAAATGAAATAAATGCTTGTGCATGCATAGATAATATACATGTTTATGCATATTTAATTTAAAAAGTGAATTCTCAAGAAACTTTGCTTTCTCACTTTTTGACAGTCTTATATTTCCTACTTGAAACTGACTCATACTTGCACCTTTTATTGTCTGCATAAATAACAAGGTCCTTCTGTCAAATCTGAGGTTCCAGAGGTTCCCATATACCCCCCCTACCTCTAACTCCCCAAAAACCAGCATGCCATGCTTGTGCCAATCATACAAACCTTGGCATACAATTCCAGCTGCTATTCATTCTGATAAATCCTCAGCCTTGCAGTGCTGTGCCATCAAAGTAAGTGTATTTATATATTCACAGTTCCAGAAACAGTTAACAACACAGCACCTTCTGTACCAGAGCATTGGAGATAGCACGCTGTGTGAAGGAAAAAGAGATTTGCCGGTAGTCCAGGAAACTAACTGGTCCAGTTTTAGGAAAAGGTGCAATCACAATGTCATAGAAATGCTACATTGTTTAGGCTGGAAAAGACCAGTCCAGGTGTTATCCCAGGATTGCCATAAACCTTGTCCCTAAGTGCCACATCCACACTTGATCTACACTAATAATGTAGACTTCTTTAGATCTTCTAGATCTAAAGACATTTTTCTCTTGGTCACTTGTATTTCAAACATTAAATTATCTCGGTGAATATCACAGTGAACAGGTTAGAAAACCAATGCCTGTGATCCAATGCAATATGGAGCCTCAGATGTTTTTCTGTGCTGTAGGAGCCCCTCTCAAGAGTTGCTCTGGCATATTTTGGGCCTCAGACTGGAAGCCAAACCCAGAGCTCACCCCTGAGCTCACCACATGAGTTATGGGGACAGTGGAATATCTCAGAAGKCTGATCTTTTCATATGGATTAGGAAGAAGAGCTGCCCATTACCAGACGACTGGTGTGGAAATTTTGAATTCTTGTCTAGTGCAATCCAGTAATGTGGAGAGCATTTAACATCTTATTAATAATGCAACCTCCACAAAATGCTTCTTCATATAGGAATAGCACCTCCTGCCAAATTTCTCTGTATGTTCAGCTGCTACTCACAAATCCTTTGAGAAATATGAGTCATTCAGTTATGAGGAACATATACTGCACGTAGCCTTGTCTTCCTTTTTTTGATTGAACAGTACTCATACCAAATAGACTCCAGTCAGGAGAGGTGAAAACTGTGAAGCTGAATTCCTTCTAGCTCTTGCCATGTCCAGCACTGAAGTCCTGTGTTAAAAYTTCTCCATGCTCATGCTGTTCAGGGAATTCAGGTTCCTCAAGTTTCCTGCTTCAGGCCCTTCAACAAATGTCTCCTCAYTTCTTAGCAGCTGTCCTTTCAGGACAGAAATACCARCTGCAAATAGGAGGAGGCTACCAGWCTGCTCAAGCAACTCATCTAAMACCCGTGGGAGACTACAACTACTCCATAYAGAATGGGCAAATATTATTTTGAGTTCAAGTACTCATTGCCAGTAAGTGCTTGTAGAAATCACTAATTAGGGTGTGAAAGAGAAGCAGTTATCTGTTTAGAATACAGCTGTGGACATTGCTGAAAATACATCAGTTTGAGAACTGATGTATTACAATACATGCGATGTAGCATTCTGTGAAGGGTAGCTCCCAAAATTCAATATGATCGTGTTTATAAAGCACATAGAAACAAGGAAAAAAAGGGCAGCAGTTCAGTTTAAGTAGACTGAAGACTACTTAATGATACCATAGTAGATGTCCAGGGCATAAGCCTGCTAATTATCACAAAAGAACTGATTAAAAGGTAGCAGTTGCTTCATTATAGAAACCAAACAAGCTGATTGAGCAGCCTGTTTGCTGGAGAAGAAGGAGAAAGCTTCTTGAACTTCCTCACAGGAGCCATCTTTGTGGTTTCTTGGTCCCATCCCCCCRCCACCAAAAATCRRACTGAGTAAAASCAGGAYAGATGGTTCAAAGAAATCAGTTTATTTTTGAAAAAAGCAAACTGTTTTATACCCCCAACTTTGCGCAGCCTAGACAGGGATTGGATGTGAGCCAAGTGTAGCTGCCACCCACAAGCTCTTTCCCCCAGTCCTGTCTTTGGTCAGGCAGTGTCCACAGGCTCTGGTAACCAATCACAGCCTGACACGTGAGGCAGGTCCCTGTCAGTCACACTGCTCCCAGCTCACATGACTCTCAGCTTGAATCCTTTTCCAAACTGCAAACCTAGCCACAGGTGAAAGSCTTGCTTTATTTTCCCACAGGTTTAGACTAGATATTAGGAAAAAATTCTTYTCTGTGAGAGTGGTGAGGCCCTGGCAAAGGTTGYCCATAGAAGCTTTGTCTGCCCCATCCCTGGAAGTGTCCAAGGCCAGGTTGGTCTGGACTTAGAGAAACCTGGTCTGGTGAAAAGAATCCTTTTTGGAGTATTTGGAGCAGTGGGGTTGGAATGAGATGAGCTYTAAGGTACCTTCTTTAAGACCCCAAAACTTGCTTGACAAGACTTGTAGTTGTTCATGTACTCTGAGTTAGACACATGGGAGAATTACCCACAAGATATTCTCAAGAGGTCAAAACAATAAAAAGAACTTTACTGGCAACGTCAGAAAATAAAAAAAAATTTGGCAAAAGCTTAGTGCAACATTCAGTTAACATAAAACACTTCTCAAAGCATTAACTTGATCTATTCAGCTTAGCAAACTCCAAGCCCACCCAATTTTAAGTTACTCAAAACTCCAAGAAGAGGGAATTAAAAGAAGAAAAAAAAAGATAGAAAGACAGAAAACATATATAAAAGAACAAGTATAGCTACCACTCCTGGTTCCAGCAGTGTCTCAGCTGATAGAAAATGCAAAAGGAAGTATGATTAAGACATGTSCTTGCCTCATGCTTTGGTTTAAGCACCCTTTAGCTTTCCTGGGCCCTTCCCACAGGTCATTTGACCAAMTCTGGTCATTTGGCCACTTTGGGGCTTTATTTGGGCTCCAGAGGTGGGTGTGGGACATTGAGTCCAATGTGCCAGGGACTGCCAGCCACTGTATGGCTGAGACACAGGCTCTAGGGGGCTGGGGARTACAGGGCAGTGTACAGGGCAAGGCCCCACCTGCCCTCTTCTCCCTCACACACACCCAAAATGTTTCAAGCCAGCAATACGTCCAAATCACCCACATCACCCCTGGCTCAGGGTATTGACTAGAACCACAGTAATGGTACCTTTCCTCTCATGGCAGCAGTGGGATCCTAATTTATCAGACCGGGCAGAAAGAAAAAAAAGATRAAAGTATACAGGTAATCATACAATGAACAACTGCTATTTCAATAATCAAAAGCATAAGTTTAGTTACTATAAAAATATCACTTTATTCAAGTTATTGCCTGTGGGAATACAGCTAGAAAGCAGAAGTGAGAGCACTGCTCAATTCATGTCAGAAGTAGATGCGGTAACACCGYTAGGCTGCAAACCGTGGCAGGCAATGAGGCTTACTAAAAAATAATTTAGCATAAGAAAATGGCATGTTTTGTATGTACTGGTACTGGTCAGAGCTAGCTTGTGGTTTTGCAATATTATGAAGAAACATAGATATGGTTGTTATAGTGATTGCTGCTTATATAAGAATTTATTTTTAGTTACTGCTGAAAAGGTATATATACTCTGCTCYGTATCAATAAAATCAGCTTATTGCATCCAAGCAATCTTCCCTGTCTCTTCATTTGCYGACTGYCACCTGCATGTCTCCCAACAATTGCCCCCACCCTGTGAGTGTCTAAAATTGCAGGCAAGGTGTGATGCAAACCTGGACCTGGAGGGAATTCATGAAAACAGTAGTTCAGCTGTGCTGACCAAGTGGCCGAGCAGAGTGGTTGGTGATTTCCTTTGTGTTTCTTGATRCAGAAGTCTTCTTTGGTAAGGTCAAACATTTTACATATTCCTTCTTATTAATAACATCATATCAAATGTTAGACAATTTTATAAAACTATTTTTGATACTTGATGGRYTATTTTGWTACTTGATGGACTTGTAAGCTGAGCTACAAAACAGCATGGTGAGTTCAATTAAAGATTCTTTATTGCTTATTGATATTACAATGTATTGCACTCCTTGTAAAAAACTTTAGGATAGGTAAATTTTCAATAGTTAGGCTGCCTTGCCTTTTACAATTTGTGATCTAACACATCCCTGTATTCTTATAACCCAAACAAATATATATGTCTGAGATTACCACCCTTATTCCTCCCACCAACCAGAATTCAAGGGAATCCCCAGGAGCCATACTGTGGGAAAGAGAAAAAGTCAGTGGCCACCAGGGGAAAATTACATTCAGTAGAAGTTCTATTGCAGAATAGTTTGGATTGCCGTAGGGGTGGAGTCGTTCCAACCTCTCCAGCATATCACTTCAGTCAGGGTCCTGGGTTCTGACCAAATTCCTTTCCAACTTTACCAAACRCTTCAGTGGTTCTCAAGCCCAAAATCTTTATTCTTCTCCTTTGTCTTAACCCCTAATTCCTTCTTTGTCTACAGGTGGAGAGAGCTTTCCAGCTGACACGTCCACTCCTTTGTCAGTCCTTTTTCTCCTCCTTACAGAGGCTACCAAATGTTTAATATCCCCTTCTTCTGCACAACTATGCTTTACAGATGGCTTACTGTTACTGCACGCTCTTCCCTTGGTATTCTATATACCTTTCCTTGGTATTTTATGCTTTGCTATGAGGAGGTGAGAAGAGTTGAGAGGTGAGAGACAATGTTTTCAGGGAAAAACATTACAGGGTAAATGTTTCCTCTGAAATGAAAAAGTTGATAATTTTTTTCCACCAATATGAAATAGATGTTTGGGCAAAAGTGAAGAGACAAATAATTTATTAACAAAACAAGGTGCCTGCTGGTCACAGATAAAAAGTAACTGTTAGATATTTAAAAGTCCAGAAAGAACACTGCCCCCTCCCACCCACAGCTGCTTGGCTAAGTGGTGCGGAGAAAGATGGCGAGGCTCCTGTCCCCGGGAAAAAGAAACAAAAGAAAAAGTCCCACTCGGGCAACAGTGGAAAAACCTGGAGGCAGTCCTCTCCTCACGGTGGATGAAACAAAGGGCTCGGTGTGCTTTCTTCCAGCCAGCTTGGCTTCTCTGGAGTCCGGGACGATGGAACGGCACCCACCGCTTTTTCCCTGCTGATGCCCGGCTGGTTGGCGCTTGCCTCCTGGTTCTTGGACTGCAGCCCTGCCAATCCACTCCAGAAAATCACAGGAGTCCCAGAAGGGGTGGCAGCCCAGGGAGAGCTGTTTGCCCAAGCTAACAAACCAGAGCTAGCTAAGCGGCAACAATGTAACTCTGCTGTACCCAGAGAGCTGAACTCCAAAAAAGCAAATGGCTGCGCAGCAGCTCCAACTTTCAACTGCCCACACTGCCTTCCCAGCCGCTCCTGCCCCTTCTACTGGGTCGCATTTGAAGGCAAAGACACCTTTTGGGCATACAAGCAGAGGGCATATAGGAATAGAGTGTTATCATAAAATCAACCCAAGACAAAGAGGTACACAAGTTTGTTTCCATAATCCTATGAAATGCTATGTGAGCTCCCAAAACTAAATTGAGGGAGGAATCTTTTTCACCCACTGTGGCAACCAGCGGGGAAAAAAAAAATTGACATTACATGCAACGAAGTTAAATAAAATATATATAAATATCTTAAAACTTATCAAGATAAAAGCATATAAATAACTGCTGCAGCAAAGAATGGTGTCATCTTATTACCACTTCACCTTCTTACAGAATACCTCTAGAAGGAGAAAACTCAGTCCTATTTGAACCTGATTCAAAAGGAGAAACCATCAACCTCGTAGTCTTCTGTGCCCTCTGCTGTAGAAAATTTCATTGATCTACTAATCAAATTAACAATAACAGTCTGTGAAAAGAAACTCAAAAAGACATAAAAATTGTGATAATCACTAATAAAACTTATTTGGTAAACTTGTTCAAATTCTCTAGTACCTTAACCATTCTGATCAGGATTCTTAGCTCCATGCAGACAGACTGAAGCTGGAGTAGCCAGCCATCCTTTTGCGACCATTACAGTTCTAGACAGAATGTTTTTTGTCAAATCTACACATTCTGTTATATCCTAATACGAATGACACTTCACATGATCTCCTAACATCAGGTATGAATTTCTCTTCCAATGGTCAGGTAGTATTTGTTCAATGAGTGTGATGGTAGAGTGGCCCTTAGAGAAACGGACACTGCTCTCTTTCCTTTCTTTTTTTCTTATCCCTCTGGCACTTGAAGCCATACTTGCTACTACAGTTGTTAGGTACAAGGTCCTGCTGGAATTGTTGACTAATCCAGGAACAAACGTTCTTACTGCAGATCTGGAAATATTGCTTGCACTGTCCAATACGGTTCCTCTGTGTCCAGAACTGTCTTTATTAATGTAGTTTAGGAGTATCTGGCCATAGATCTTAGAGCTATCTGAGTAGTCAAAAGTCCTTTCCACTTCTGCTTAAGCAGCTCTTTTTTTCCCTATCCAGATATATATCTGGGCTCATGGCAGGTGAGGATATCCTTGCACATTCAGGATTATTGGTGAGACTAAAAAATCAAACTTAGACAACGATAAAAGTATTTTTCCCCAAGAGGTTATGGACTCTCCAGCAGCAGCTGCAGCAGTTCCATCTCCAGCCCCTAGTGGCAGGCACGGCTCAATACCCACTGCTGCCAGATGGGGGCAGTGTAGGAGCAGGTTGCAAAGCTTCATTGCAAATACAGGACAACGGAATTTCCATGTATTTCCAGTGAGTTTGGTCAGATATTTGAAATCACCATCCCTCCCCCAACTCACTTTTTTGGGCAGCACCAAGAGGTTTTTTTCTTGGTCTTGATCCTTAAATTTTGCAATAMGTAACAATAACATAGTGAMAGRRCMCCAGCTGTTTCTCGTGCATTGTTTGGAAGCCCACTGTGTCCCAGACTTCCTGGTAATTTTGGCACATTTTGGAATGGGGATGGAGATGGGTTCTCCTGCTCCAACAAGTCCCAACTTCTCACAATTTCTCAGAAATTGTTCCCTGGGCTAGAGACTCTTCTCCATGTGCTTCCTCCTTGGAAAGCTTTATTTCATTCCCTCCCATTAGCAAAATTCTTAAAACATCCTCCATTTCTATTTTCTTTGGGACAATTGTTAATTTTCTCTTGTAAGTTAACCAATTAAGTTAAGTTGTTCACTCTGTTAAAGAGTGAAATATAATTACCAGCAGGACTCTGCTTCCTGAAAAAAAGAATTCTCTTAACAACTGGGCAGAGCTTGGGGTGCAGTGGAAAGTGGAGGTGGTTGCTTTGCTRAGTCCTTCTCCAGGGAGTGGAGGGAAGTGACATAATATTTAGGGAAGTCCACCTYCTCCTGGAGGCTGGGGAACCCCGGCTTGCTCTTCACCTCCACTTTCAGACAGGCAATTTCCRATTGTAATTCTTTTTCCAGTGTCCTGCTCAACTGGTTTTGCAGATTTTCTCTCAGTCTCTTTTCAGCATTCAACCTATCCTCCACCCTTCACTGAATTATGAGCTTGGCCTGCAGGCTTGCTTGMAAGGTMTSAGCTAGCTYATRCAAGARCRCWATCACTTCCTTGTCTYRTTGCTTAGCAAGCTATCTCTCCTYTTGGCCAGCTSTTAAGGACRTTCCTGTGWGGAAAAATCWTGCWATGAAAAGCCAGTGTCCACAAAGGAGACAGAGGAGTCCTGCAATGTTATTGAAATAAAGGGAGACAGTCCAGTGGGACATATTGCCATGGGGTTTCTCTCTCAAGGTTTCAGAGGACACAGCCACCTTTTAAACTGCCAGCCACATGTTGCCTTCTTCCTTTTCCCCCTGGCTGAGGTACTAGGAAGGTACAGCCTTCCCAAATTGCCTACCACGTATCATCCCTTAAACCTGTCATCTTCCCCCAAAGTTCAGAAACTCAGCTTGTGCAGACCAATTTGTCAGTCTCAAAGTCAAACTGTCTGGGTTCAGTAACAAACCTTCCACCTGAAGTTGGTAGAGATATTAAGACACATTTCAAAGGTGTTAACACCCAGCCCCTCACCCAGGGAATTGTTTGTTAAGACATTAGCACACATCTTTCCTATCACTCCCAACAAGCCAGACCCTTGTTCTTGGAGTGATTGAGGGAAAGGACTTTGATGTATGCTCCCACCACCCATGGGATTGGTAAAATATACATAGAATCCTAAGTTGTACTATTTCTTTGCTAGCTGAACTCATAGGTACCTTTAATCCGCGCTGCATTTTAAACTGCTGTACTTAGTCTACAAGAAGTGTCTTTTGTCTTGTTTCTGTGTCATATATAATTTGCAGAACAACCTCCTTGCTCTGTTATTTTCTTGTGTCTAATAAGCAATAATTCATTTTATATTAGACCTAATTGGCTATTATTAAAAGAACTAGCAAACGAGACTGGGTCTTGGGGTGCTGGTCGCCCTGAGAAGCTATCTGCTGATTGCCAAAAGCCTAGGCAAAAGGCAGAAATCTATCTAAGCTCCCATCTATATTCATAACACATGGAGGGGAAATCTTTAGAATAGGGGGACATTACCTCATTTGTTAAGTTTCTTACTGGGGAATTCTAGATAGATATGCTTATYTGTGGAGTCTATAAAAATTGCATACGTGTTATACGCGGGATGCATCTTCAGTGTTTTCCACTCTGACAAGCTGTGCACCTGAGATTCTATTAAAATACCAAGGTAAAACCCTTTTATTCCCTTAACCATATCTGCCTCATAATTCAAAACTGGCTAATTAAGGCAACAGAAATATGGGGCAGCGGAGACCACACCCATCCTTGGGAAGAAGGATCTGTTGAAAATGGCAGCAATGTCTTCATGCAAAATAAAGAGGGAAAATGGATCTTACCAGCAACTGACCTTCTGCCGCAACTGTTTCCATCCCTACAGGGCCTGCAGTCCACTGGGACTAGAAGCAAAACACAGCATGGTCAGAAGAGGCAGAGTGAGGGAAACCCCTGGACAAAGATGGTCCTGCACAAGCATAAGGTGCAGCCAAAGTGCTTGCATGATGACATCCAAGCATGCTGAAAACAGATCCTATCCCACTTTCTGTAAGTCCCTACAATGTGATTTCCTTTCCCTTGWGTTCAGTGAGCATGAGCTGGGGAACTCTGTGCAAAAGAGGGGAACTCACRAACACAGGTGCAGTGTGAATGTTGAGCACTATCAAAGCTCTTGAGTTTGTGGCCCTATGGAAACCTCACTGTTTCCATCCCTGCT